TAGGGAAATTGGATTCTTTCATCCATAGTAAAGTAAAGCAGAGTTAAGCCTTGCAGAAGTGACATGTCACGCTCTCACTGTCATTGTGGGAACCTTTAGAAATGTACAATTTTTTAGCTTGGAACTGAGCTGAAGATTTAATAGCATCTTTATCATGTTATATGCCTGTTGGGATCTGTTTTCCTCCCCCAGCTTCCCTACATTTGTCCAAGAATCACAGAATCATAGAATCATTTAGGTTGGAAAAGACCTTTAAGATCATTGAGTCCAACCGTTAGCGTAGCACTGCCAAGTGCACCACTAAGTACCACATCTACCCGTCTTTTAAATACCTCCAGGGATGGTGACTCAACCACTTCCCTGGACAGCCTGTTCCAATGCTTGACAACCCTTTTGGTGAAGAAATTTTTCCTGATATCCAATCTAAACCTCCCCTCCTCTCATCCTATCCCTTGTTCCTTGGGAGAAGAGACTGACCCCCACCTCGCTACAACCTTCTTTCAGGCAGTTGTATGGAGCGATAAGGTCTCCCTCAGCCTCCTTTTTTCCAGGCTGAACAACCCCAGTTCCCTCAGCCACTTCTCATGAGACTTGTGCTCAAGACCCCTCACCAGCTTCATTGCCCTTCTCTGGACATGCTCCAGCATCTCAGGGTCCTTCTTGTAGTGAGGGGCCCAAAACTGAACACAGTATTCAAGGTGTGGCCTCACCAGTGCATAGTACAGGGGCACGATCACTTCCCTGGTCCTGCTGGCCACACTATTTCTTATACAAGCCAGGATGCTGTTGGCCTTCTTGGCCACCTGGGCACACTGCTGGCTCACATTCAGCCGGCTGTCAGCTGACACCCCCAGGTCCTTTTTTGCCAGGCAGCCCTCCAGCCATTCTTCCCCAAGCCTGTAGTGTTGCATGGGGTTGGTGTGATCCAAGCGCAGGACCCAGCACTGAGCCTTGTTGAACCTCATACAGTTGGCCTCAGCCCATCGATCCAGCCTGTCCAGATCCCTCTGTAAAGCCTTCCTACCCTCAAGCAGATCAACACTCCCACCAAACCTGGTGTTGTCTGCAAACTTACCGAGGATGCCCTTGATCCCCTTGTCCGGAGCATTGATAAAGATATTAAACAGACCTGGTCCCAATACTGAGCCCTGGGGAACGCCACTTGTGACTGGCTACCAACTGGATTTAACTCCATTCACCTTGACTCTTTGGGTCTGGCCATCCAGATATTTTTTTTACCTAGCAAAGAGTACGCCTGTCCAAGCCATGAGCAGCCGGCTTCTCCAGGAGAATGCTGTGGGAAATGGTGTCAAAGGCTTTACTACAGTCCAGGTAGACAACATCCACAACCTTTCCCCCATTCACTAGGTGGGTCACCTTGTCATAGAAGGAGATCAGGTTAGTCAGGCAGGACCTGCGTTTCATAAACCCATGCTGGCTGGGCCTGATCACCTGGTTGTTCTGTATGTGCTGCGTGATGGTACTCAAGATAATCTGCTCCATAAGTTTCCCTGGCACCAAGGTCAGGCTGACAGGCCTGTAGTTCCCTGGATCCTCCTTCTGGCTCTTCTTGTAGATGGGCATCACATCTGCTAACTTCCAGTCAACTGGGACTTCCCCAGTTAGCCAGGACTGCTGATAAATGATGGAAAGCGGCTTGTTGAGCACTTCCACAAGTTCCCTTGGTGCCCTTGGGTGGATCCCATCCAGCCCCATAGATTTTTATGTGTCTAAGTGGTATAGCAAGTCGCTAACCATTTCCCCTTGGATTATGGGGGCTTCATTCTGCTCCCTGTCCCTGTCTTCCAGGGGAGGATAGCTTCGCTTGAGTGCATTGATTGCCAATAACCGTGCACTTCATTAGACGTATCCAGAGATGTAATCACCTTTAATTTCTAGTTGTGGAATTGGTTAGGCAGTGAGTTATTCTTGGGATTGCTGGATTTGTTCGTAACGCAGGAAATGGTTTATAAGCAGATTCTGTCTGTAGCATTATACATTGCTGTAGCACATGACTTTGGATGAGACACTTCACATCCCATAGTCTCAATGTACAGGTTGTACATGTCTCAAAGCAGTCTGCCGTGTTTAATCATTTGTGTAACATTCTTGGAGATCCTATGACAAAGCCATTATGTAGATGAAAATGACAGCAAGTTGGGTTTTAATACCCTTTAATTAACTCAGCTGCCCAGTTAAAGCAAAGTTAGACTGTTTCTCCCCTCATCCCAGGGCTGGTGATTCACATTCCCGAGCCTTTTACAAGGCAACATAACTGCGGCCTGTACTTCTTAGGCAGGCAGAGAAAGCAGCTCATTAGCTTTGAAACTTCTTTGACCATTTACTCTCAAGCACTGGAGACTCTGGTCATCTGAGAATTGCATATATTTTACAAGACATTCAGATAACCATGATTTTACTGTGGCACTGCAAAATCAAAACACCTGGCAAATAAAGGTGAATTCTTTATACCTGTTCAGTTTGAGATTAATCCTTGTAATAGAGGTGAAGGAAATCATGTCTTTCCAAATAGCTCTGATACTCAGTACATGTAAGTTAATCAGCAGGGGAGCTGTAAGTGTTGGTTTATAGTTTGTTGTGTTCCTTCTGCAGCGGTAAGTTGGCTTTGACAGAACTGAAATGTGGCTGAGACAGGAATAACATGCCTGTTCACATCTGCAGGGTTTATTTAGTCTTTGCTTTACATTGTTAAAATGTGAGTCTGCTGTGCTGTTCTTCAACAATAAAACTCATTCTTTCTTTTACCCTTTATTCCTCAGCAAATTCCATCTCAGTCTGGCAAGGCTCAGTCATCTCCCTTTGGGATTGGAACAAGTCACACCTACCCAGCTGATCCATCATCATACAGCCCCCTTTCCAGCCCAGCCACCTCTTCTCCAAGCGGGAATGCCTACTCTAGCTTAGCAAACCGAAGTGCAGGGTTCGGTAAGTTTTAAATGACATAACACAGAAATGCACATAAAAATTAAACTCTCCAGCATTAACTTCATTAAAAATCCTCCAGCCTGTTCTTTTGGTGGCTCAGTCGGGAAGCCCAGGTGGTTGAAAGGGTTTTGATTTCTCCTGTTGAGCCCAGTGGACAGAGCTGACCTGTTCCCTCCATGCTGTATCTCCTCCACATCCAACCCACTTTGGAATATTGTGGCATTTTTGGTATGAGGGAACCTTTTTTTTTTCCAGTAAATGGTGTCACAAAAGATTCACTAGTACACGTCCTCCCAAACTGTGGTCAGCTGGTTCAATTTCTTTTTACTTCTCAGGAGAACACTTAAACGGCACAAATTTACATGCTTTTCATTTTTCAACTTCTCAGACCACGTGGTGGTGTCTTCTTGCCCAGAGATGGCATGTTGGAGTTTGGCTGGTGACAGGATTTTTTTTTTTTGTACCCACACTGCTACTAACCTAGTCAGAGTAGGTGCCATGCTTTGAAATGGTTTTCTTTTCCTATTACATGCTAATTTAGTGGCTTTCAGACCATGACTCAGTGGGTGACCCCTTGGTAAGTTTTCTGCACTTCACCAGCAGAATAATATTCCACAGTAAAATATATTATGAATCTTTCAGTGATAAACACACATGGAGTCCCTGAAAAATGTTACTGGCTGATAATAATGTGCAGTTCCAAAAAGCACAGGTAGCTGTGTGCTAATGCGTGTCATTTTTCTCTTGTCCCTTGAGAATAAAACGGGTGCAGCCCTGTTGCAGATTAGGCTCACCGCGTGCAGACCCGCGCTGCGTCGCCTAGAAAAAGCGCATTGAAACAGAGCTCTTCCCACAGAGCTTATTCATGCCTCCATTTCCATTTCCACCAGGCTTTGTACATTTGTTTATGAGACAGCCTTGTATTTCAGGCCTAAGCTACTTGGCAAGAACCCTTTCACCTAATGAGAAACATTTCCTGACCTACATCAGTTTGGATACTATTAATAACACAGCCTTCACAGAGACGAAAGTCTTGAACCTCTGGCTGGCAGTAAGCGTTTTGCTGAAAAGAAGCATCATTTGCCTCACTGAGTTAATTTCAATGTATTGTTCTGAGAAAAGAAAAAACCCTCACAGCTTTCTTTTAAATGCTAACTTAGATGAATTTTGTTGTGGCCCATAAAAAGGGCTGCAGGGTTTCTGAGTCAGCTGAATTATTGGTTGTGGTAATGTCAGTAAGGGAAGAGCTGTAATTATCTACTTCAGATGTGATAGAAATACATCACTACAGCCTCTTTACTTTCCTGTAAAATGTTCGCTTTATCTGTTTTGCATGGTTTAGCTGGTAGCCAAAAGGATTAGATTAAGTACATGTTTCTGTATTGTCTGAAGCCATGACTATGAGTAGCGGCTGACTTGACGTGATCGAGTCTGATTATCAGAGACCTGACATAGCACACGTGTGGAAGTTTGGCACAGGAAATTTGGCACCCTTGGCAGAGAGCACTGATAAACTGGGAGAACCAGATCTACCCAGCTTGGTTCTCTGCAGTGAGGGGAAAATAGGCAAAAATAGTAAGAGTAGTTATATAGAAAAGAAGAAAAAAAAGAGGAGGAAATGTTTGGAGGAAATGCATAAGCCTGGTGGTAAGCTTTCTAAAATGTTAATTCTTAGAAGATAGGAGGAGATATTGTAAATAATTGAAGGAAAATTATCCAAAAATGTTAAATGTTTGGGGCCAATCTGTAGAAATACAGGGTAAAATGAGTCCAGCATAAGTGTGACCTGCGACTGTACTCACGAAAAGTGTATGCATAATAGGTGACCCAATGAATGTGTGTGGCATGTTTTTTTCTGGTAGACTATTTAGAGGAAATTAATCTCCCTGAAATCATAATTTAAAGTGTATTTACCATAAAACCTTTCTGTTCTCGTTACTCTCTGTGAAATTTAAATGGCCTCAGACTTTTAAGAAACCATCACCATACGAACAGGATAATAGTTTGCTATAAGCTGCATGTTAAATAAATCATTTTGCAGCTGTAATATTGGAGGACAAGACAGTCCAGCAAACAACATTCTGCATTTAATACAGCAATGTCTGAATTTAATAAGGCAAGGCTGTTGTCTGTTGATCATATTCTTTTTGCATCTGCTTACAAAATCTTACATCTGGTTACATGCTGCTTAGATGAGTAGGTAACTGTGCACCCACTGCTCTGCGAGAATTAGTCTTTTAAAGAGAAAGAGCATTCAGGTGATGCAGTCTGGTTTTTAAGTGAAATGGCAAATATTCCTTATTAGTGATTAAAAAGCAGTGGGGGGATGCTTGAATATTGCCTTCCAGTGCCTGGCTTGTGGTGTCAGTGGGTGTTTTGCTGTGAGCAATTCACCTGCCATGCCTGTGCAGCCGCGGCAGTGAGCTTTGCTCTCGGGTTGGCCCCCACCCTGCAGCCAGGGCTGAAACTCCCTTTGGCTTCCACCCTGCAGGGGCTGGGTGTCACTCAGGGTCTTTTTTCTAAGACTCATTTGCAAACAGAGGCATTGATGGATGAAGCCTCAAAAGCAGACAGGCATTTTGAAGGAGCTGCTCTCTGACTTCTGCCCTTTTTCCCCTCCTCCAGCTGAAGGTGGCCAGAGCAGCGGCCAATTCCAGGGGAGACCTTCTGAAGTCTGGTCCCAGTGGCAGAGCCAACATCACAACCAGCAGAGTGGTGACCAGCATTCGCACCCGCAGCCCAGTCAGACCGAGGTGTTCCAGGTGAGGAGACTTCAGTGACCCCAAAGTCCCCCTGCCAACCTCTCGCCACTGAGTTGAAGAACTGTGGCCCTCCATGACCAACATGCTAGCAGGGCTTGGAGCAATTACCTCTTGCGGTGTGCTACACGAGGTTTGCACTGCTATTAGCTGGCGTTAGCTACAGCTGAGATGGTTTTGTTTTCTGCTGAAGAACAGCATCTTTGCTGATGTAAAACGCTGGTTTCCCTTCTCTTTGCACCCTGGACTTAGGGCTTAAGTGCTTTGCAGGGAAGTCATGAAATAGTCCCAAATAGAGTGTTTGTCTTACCCTGGTGCTGGCCTCTGAAATCCCAGTCAAGTCCAATTAAACATCAGTGTAATTCTTTTTGATATTTCAAGCAGGAAAGGAGTCTGATACTGCATAGAAGATAGCGGCCAATAATTTTTTAAGGTTAAACCCCGTCAGATATTAGTAAACAATCCTCTTCAGCTACTAATTTTGTAATATTAAGTATAATTTTGGGCCTTCACTAAAGATGGACTAGGACTTTTAAGTTAACTAATAAGGTCTCTGCCCTTGCATAACTTGTTTTTAAATTAGATCAAGAAGACAGTTTGCAACAAAACAATAAATGCAGAAAAGACAGTTCAAGCCCCAAGCAAGGTTTAGAAGTGGGGCGCCTCATTATCTTTTAGAAAGTAAAGTCACCTGCAAGACGGTGCTTAGTTGCTCGCAGGAACACGGCAGAAAAGATATTAGCCTGAAAATATTCCTGTGTGAACAAACCATTGCTGCAGGAACAAATAACATCACTACATCTGGAATAATTACCTGTCTGCATGCTCTTACCCCATGGCCCAGGCAAGATTAATCTGTTCAGTCTCTCTCTGTTCGCAAAGTTTAATTGCTTTGCACGTACTTGAACCCAAAAGCATATTCAGGGTAATTCCAGTGGAGCAGACGGCAGCGTGGTTCGATGGCCCAGAGACACAGGACTCCGAGCAGCATCTTGCTCGTGACTCAGGCAAGTGCTGTGTCCCAGCAAATGTCTTATGAAATTAGTGGGAAGGAGGGCCAAGGGGCTCACCTGCAGAGCTCTTGGAGGTGGCTGTGCATTTGGAGGGCATTAGGATAATAGCTGGATGTGATGAGAAACTTGGATGAGCTCATTTCAGAGGCCTCAGAGAAGTTGCTTGGATTGTTTGTGACTGAAGCCAGCCCTGGGTTAGCTGGATATAAAGGAGAGAGGCAGACTCAAGAGGGGAGCTACCCTGCCAGGTCTGTACCTGAGGAGAGCTTGCTGCAGAGGCCCCAGCAGCATGAATGCCTTTGGAGATGGAAATTTAAATAGGTGGGGGCAGCTACAACTTCCCCTCGGATGGGGAGGAATGTGGGGAAACATAAAATAAGTGCACATTTTGGTCAGAAAATGAAGGCTGACCCTGGCAGCTGGGAAACTGCCAGTTGTGTTCACAGCCTTTCACCACCATCAACAGGGATGCCACAGAGACCTCAGATGGATTTTGGTCTGTCTTTATTTTGGGGTAACTTCTCAGTACACAGCAGCTCTCGGTAGTTATTTCTTCACAGGGCAGATCCTGTGAGCTTTCTTATTTGTTCTTTAAGTTTTGTTTTACTGTAAGGATAATGAGCCATCCCTGGCAAAACTTGGCTTTGCAAGACCTTATTATTGTAAGGACTGACAGGAAAAGCAAGCGTAAACTCTGGTTTTCTCAGCAAGGGATATCTTTTCCCTGTGGCTTCGGTCTCCAGCTGAGAGGAAAGGTTGAGTATTTTTTGAAGCTCCCTGCGGGGACCTCACTTGGCTCAAGACACGTGGGAGCAATTACCATGAAATCCCATTTCTCCTGAGAAGTTCCTATTTCCTCTGCCTTTGTACATGCATGAAGGCTGCTTGGGCATCTTGTTAGCTGGGGTGGATGTCCAGTCTTCAGTGTTCCTCAGAGGATGAAGAGCAGTAGTACGTTCACTTGCAGAGTGCTGGTGAGGAGGTGAGACCCTCCTCAAACCCATGCTTGTGCAGCAGGAGCTCCTTTCTGTAGGGTGCAGGAGTGTTTCAGATGTTGAACACTTCCCTTATAGTGAAACCAGAGAGTTTGCTTCTCTCCATTCCAAGGGGAGCTGTTTTGGGACTATGGGGCAGCTCAAATGTGCCTTATTTAGAGGAACAATCCAAATCTTCTGCCCTGCTGAGGTCCCACATCCCATTCAGAAATGCTCCAGCCAAAACAGAAGTAGCACATAAACCTCAGCCCAGCCCCCTGCACAGGTCTGGTGGTCACCTTATTTCTCTAACCTTTGGCCTTCTCTGGTTTTACGCTGAAAAGATGAACAGGAAACAGTTTGTGTCTGGATAACGTGTTAGCAAGTGTCACTTCACTTTTATTTTCCCTTATCGTGCAGGACATGCTGCCAATGCCGGGGGATCCGACGCAGGGTACTGGCAATTACAACATTGAAGATTTTGCTGACCTGGGCATGTTTCCACCATTTTCTGAGTAGCTTGTGAAGCAGAAATGGAAGTTCTTCTCCAAGGCCATTTCAGTGTAATTTTGGCTCTGCTTTTTCTGTGTTGCGTTTCTGTAGAAGCTACTAAACCAGAAAACACATCTCTCATGTTTCAGATAGTGGTGTAGGGCTTGCTCTCTCCTCCTTGGGGTGCGTTAGTGCTGACAGAGGAGCTCCAGCACTTGTTAATGTTCATTGATAGCTCCATTTTGTTTTTTATTTTATTGTCATCTACCTCAGAGATGAAAAACTTGATTTTAAAAAAAAAAATCTCTGAGTCTTAAATATTTGAATGTGAATGATACCTAATATTTCCTTTGAATGGTAATTTTTAAATAGATAATGAAGTAACAAAGACTAACAGAGAAATGGTAAGGTAATGTCTTGTTACAGTGCCTACCGCTCAATTTCGATGCCTTGCTTTAAGCTTAAGTTTCTGGAAACAGACACAATGTTCTGTTTTCTTTGATTCTTGTAGGTTTTAGGTCACTTTAAATGTGAGATTAAGCAACATAATGTAGGCCTCTCTCACCAGAAGATTCAGCTCCGCCTTTTCTAACTTAAACTTGAATGTGTGTACATTTTGGTACTTTATGTATATCTTGTGCTGTATGAAGTGATTTCCAGTACTGGTTTCTTTTGCCTTTACAAAGGGTCCATTCTGCAGTGTACTGAAAAGGTTGATGATATATGTGGAGGATTTAGATATCGTGGGAGTCTCCATCACTTCACATAGGTCTTCTTGCTTTTAATTCAGGTGGTTCTCTATTCAGAACAAACATTTACTTACATAAGCTATTAGTCTGGTTTTGCACTGAATTGAGGCCTATAATGCTATACATTTCTCACTGGCTGCTTTAATTTCTATTGTTCTTGCTTTCCCAAAAATACTGCCTTGTAAAAAATGACTGTAAACACATCAAGATGGCATTTTCTATATCAGCTGCATTTCCTTTCTGTGAAGTACTTTTTTATACTGTGAAACCTCACATTTTAACAGTGCAAGGTGGTGGCCTCTTACTAGGAAATCGTTCAAGCTCATTTGCTGCAAGCAGTGAGATGGTTTTGTAGTGTATAATTTTTTTAGAGTGAGTTGGTGGTAGGTATCAATTGGACTATTGTCCACTGCGTACACAGTGATAACTTGAATTTTTGCTTGGATTCCCAAGCAATCACTTCTGTTAAACCCTGTTAACCCTATTCTGTTAAATATGGGATTTTCAGCTTACCAAGTATGTTGAGGACTCTTGACTATTCTGAACACTATATGCTTTTCTGCAGAGGTAAGTTAATCGCCTTTCTCTTGGGCGAGTCACCTACCATATGTCTTCATCAGAAATGTGGTAGAAAGTTTTTTATTCAGTATTTCATATGCATGACAACTTACAGAAGTTGGGTTGTAAGGTCAGCGTTTTTATCCAGATCATGTCTTATGGGGTGGGAGGAGAAGGAATCGCTCACAAAGGAGAAGGAGCCCAGAGTTCCCACGTGCGGGTTGTTCATAACCTTTGAGGTCGGTAGCCAGCCTTTGCAGAGGAGGAAGGGGGCAGCTTCCCTCAGCCTTTGCATATTCAGGGGCCATCACGGACCTTGAAACAGCAACCTCAGGGCATAGTCCCCACCTAGGAGATGTTGATGTCTGCAGCACTTCTTAGACCTCGCAGCACTAAAGTCTGCTTTCCTGTAGCTCCTCTTGAATTCTGGGGCGTCTCTGGCGGGGGGCACCGTGCATATCACTGCAGTCCATCTTGTCAGGATGACATCCTGAAAAGCAGGCAGGCCCCTGCCCTGCAGCCTGCTCTGGCCACGTAGGTTCCATGCTGACAAGCAGTGCAGGTGGCTGGGCTGCAGTGAATGCGACCCAGGGACGTGGCTTTAAGTTAACCATATGGTGATGTTCCCGTCTGACCTTGCTTTCCTGGACTTCTCCGAGAACAGCATGTAGTTTTCAATATCCAGCAAGAGTCCTTCCTACTGTTTTGCTAAATCTGGGACCAATCTCTTACCCTATGTGCAGGTGGGGCTAGGGGCTCTTTTTTTAGGAAATTTACTAATTTTTTAGGAAATTACTCTAGTTAGAGTACTGGAGAGGCCTCAGATCTTCTGGTCTGTACTTGCCTCAACAAAATCACACTGAGAACAAGCAAAAAAACTCTTCTCTCTTCTCTTCCAGAGATCAGGAAAATACCTTCTTAGGTGAGCAAGCCATGCGCTTACGCACTATTCTTTTAAATACATGGATGTTTATTTTCTTGGAGCCTTTTCCCCCTTTCTACTCATGCTGCTCCGAAGAATGACTGCTCCTTGACTTTGATAGGCAAAGCTCTGCTGTCCCAGAATGAAATTCATTGCTGTTCTGTGAAAGGTGCCTAAATGCTGCACTGGCTGGAGCGAGGTGGTGATGTCTGTACAGCGGGGCGTGCGTTTAGAAGGGGCTGATCACGAGGGAGAGAGCAGCAGATGAGCAGTTTAGATCTCTGCACAGAAGATGCTGGACATGATAAATGTCAGTTCTTCTAAAATTTTTAAATAGTATTGCTCTGTAAAGTGAAAAATTAATTGAAAAAAATGCTGTTCCTCTGTTTTATTTTACCCAACAAACTGCTCCAAGTATATTTATAATTTACTTTTGTTCCTGAATTCAATCTAAAAATAAGTTTTTAAAGCTCTTTTCTTTCTCCTAACATCAGCAATGATAATTTCCTCAGTGTGTCATGGATTTTATACTACTGTAGAAGGCTTCTTGTGTACAGAATTTGGTTGTGCAGTTAGAATTGCACTGTTAGCAGAATTTCAAGCACATCTCTCTTTTTTATTGTTGTTTTTTAAATACAGTGTTCTTTTTTTGAAGCAAATATGCCTGAGGCATCAGAGCATGGACTGCTTTTCACCTTGTAGACCACTCCTGCCTTTCTGGTTGGGAAAGGGGGTGGCTACTCCGTTAAGGGGCAGTCCGGATAGTGCCAGGTTTGGGTTTTCCCCATGAGCTGTTGTCGTCCCTCGTTTCTGCTCTGCCATCCTGAGCCCACGCTTTCTTCTTGGCATTTCCACCCGTCCTTACCTCCCCTCCTGTTCGTGGCCATCCCATCTCTGCAGTGCTTTCCCATGCCCAAGTGGGAGGCGTTGGGTTGCCGTTCCCAAGCCAGCGAGGAGGGGAGCGCTTAATGAGCTTAAAGTTTGGCAACTTTGTGCTTCTGACCGAGCAAACGAGCAAGTTCAGCGTTGGCTACCGCTGCTGGGCATCCTGTGCTGCCCTCACCCTGTGCTGCCAGCGTGTCAGTGGCTTGCTCCTCCAAAACAGCCTCGTCCCCGGTCTTGTGGCCAAAAAAAGCTGTGTAGCGTTGGCTGTGCTGTATCTTTTTGTCACGTGTTTGGTAACTAAAGCAACTTAACTTATCCTATAGCTGAAGTTATGAAGTGCATTTGGAATGCTAGCGTTTTTATTACGTGCCATTGGTGTAGCTTTGCTGGCACTTCAGCTGCCTGTTTCCAGAATTTCACAGGTGGTGCATTTCTCGTTTCTTTTCGTGCTTTTTAAGCTGGAAATAAATCTGCGATTTCTGATCAAGCTGTGTTGCAAACACAGTGTTTCTTGAAACTGAATCTTTTGGATTTTAAACTGATGGAGCAAGAAACTGCAAATAGTAATGATCTGGGTGAGTTATTTCAATGAGCGGGCATGTAGACTGAGAAGATTTTAGATACTAAAATATTTACATTCATTTGTTCAGACAGGCAATCCTGTTCAACAAGAGGGACTCCATCCCATTGCTTGTTACGCGTGCTACTGGCAGTACCTACGGTGATGCTTTAACAAGATAGTTCCATTTGTAGCTTTGTTGCCTTTTTTTTCTTTTGAAGTACAGTATGAAACTGTAAATACTTCTTGCAGTACTGCCTTTTTAACTCTTAATTACTTTTGGCACAGTGTTAAATAGTGTTGGATTTACCCAATTGCTATGACATATATTTTTATACATAGGTGTACTCTTTTTTCGAGAATAATACAGCCATTTTGTCATTAATGCCTTATCAGTGTCATACTGCTGTTGCTCTTTGTTTGCAAGGTATCGAATGGACTAATTTCTAGTTCAGATATTTTCACTTTTCCTGGCAGTGCTCAAGTTTGGCTTCAGGTGATTTTTGCCAGAGTCCCATTTTTCACAGTTGTTAGCTGTGAGAAGAGGAGAACGTGGGCTTGGTTTTGTTTCTATTAACGAAGCAAAGAAAAAGTGATGGCATCTAATTGTCTTTAAAAGGTCAGTCTTCTCCTACTCTAAACCAGAGTGCATTTCGTGGAACCGATGGCCGTGGGCACTGCTTACATTGTGTAGATTAATGGTCTTTAAAAAAAAAAAAAAAAAAAGAAGAAAAAGAAAACAAGAAAAATAAAACAACTCCAAAAATGGGCTTCTGTCATGGTTAGGCACCTGGTTACTTATCTGTTTAAACTCTTCGTATTGATGTGAAATTGTGCTGTGGATAAAGTGTATTTTGTACTTCTGAATGTTCTATATTTATGACTAACCAGTACAGAATCGGTTGTGTGTATGTATAACTAATAACTGCCTTTTTAAATTTCATTAAAATAAAAATGTCATGAGCTGTTGTTAATTCCTGTCTTTCTGTAAATAAATAAGGTATGCCCTTGGGAATTCTCCAGTAGGAAATAACCCTGAACGATAAGATTAGTGCCAAAAATCAGAAGATCAGGCATTGATCTTTGTCTTTGAAATCTCCTGTGCTGTGTGGCCGCGGACGGGAGGTTCCCCTTTTATCTGTCTTGTGTAGAGGCTGTCCAGGGGGAGCGGGAGAGGAATGGTAGTCTGAGATCTCAGCTTCTAAAAGAAGTTCCAGGAAAAGGTTCATGAACAGCCCCGTGCTGCTGATGACGCTGAGGTGCGTGAATCTGTATCTGCATTGTAGAGGGTTTCATTAGAGCACAATCAATTTAGAATTAATTTATAGTCTGTGGCAATTTTTATTCACTCCCT